ATTTTTGTCAGCATAGTTACTCCCTTTGCAACAACAGCATCCTTTATTTCCTTTTTCTTGGCCACTATGGAACATAAGGTTGTGTAGGGTTTCTTATGCATCCTGGACAGTTTGGCCACACTTGTACCACTTTCATATTGTTAATGATGGTTTTCTTAAATTAAATCATATTTCTCACCTTCTTTACCACAGGCTTGGCACTAGGAGCTTTCTTTGGAGCCATGGTAGCTTATTTAGTACTTGCAAGCACTAAAATAAATGGAATATTATGAAATATTTCACTGGAGCACGTGAGGGGACCTTCGCTCACTGGTAAACAATGCCAGACTGGCTGCCGCCCCGGCTCACGCCGTGGGTACGCATCCCGGACAAACTATGACTCGCGAGTCAACCTATGAAAAGCGAGTCCATGTTTATACGAAAATACCCCTATGATTGGCGAAATTTACGATTCTGGGAACTACGAAAAGTGGGGGACCACTGTATTGCTTCAGTTTTCGTATGATTTGGTGTTCGCCAGATATTTTCCAGTGGATTAATCACGAAAACCGAGGTTCCACTGTATACAGAACATTATACTCCAATATAAATCCTCCTTTCAAACTTCTCCTTGACAACTACAACAGAACACATAGGCACAACACAAGGCACAAAACACTCTTTGACATCCCTTGTGTCCATCTCATACTTTGCAAAAATGCAATACACACATAAAGGGCCCAAGGACCTAGAATTCATTGCCTGAGCCTTCAAAAGGTCCCCTGCCTACAAATCAGTTTAGGGCTCTACTTAAAAATCATCTTATCTCCCAAAATTAACTATATCAACACTATGCTAAATCATATAGCCAATTTGAAGCAACTCAAAAACTCCTGAAAATGTTGATGACTACTTGATTAACTAAATGTTAAAACAGCCTCTCCTCACTTAACGATGGAGTTCCGTTCCTGAGACTACGTTGGTAAACAAATTCGTTGCTAAGTGAGGAGCATACTATAATGGTAGTGAGTTTGTGTCAACCATCTTTGATATTGTTTTAATATCACCTTTGCAGCATTTTTAACATTTCTGGTATATTTTTAAATGTTTATACAGTTGAGTACTGTATATCATAATAAACATAATAGAGGAAATCAGCTCTAATATATATTGAGTATGCATACTGGTAAGAGAGCCCATTGTAAGTCTAAGGCGTCGTTAAACGAGTACGCTGCTAAGTGAGGAAAGGCTGTACATACTTGTAATTGCACTATAATAATAATAAAATATAATATCTTTATTTCTACAAGTACAGTGGTACCTTGACTTACAAGTTTAATTTGTTCTGTGACCTTGCTCATAACTGAATTTGCTCGTATATGAAATCAAAATTGTTCCCTAGGCTTCCTCAGCTTATTAATATCACTCCAAAGCTTTTTCTTATTTTCAGCAAAATTTGTTGATAACATCTCACCCACTCTCTCATTTGCTCTCTTTTTACATTGCTTCACCATTCTCTTAACCTCTCTTTTTCTCTCCATATACTCTTCCCTCCTTGCATCACTTCTACTTTGTAAAAACCTCTCATATGCTAACTTTTTTCCCCTTACATTCATCATTCCACCAATCACTCTTCTCCCCTCCTGCACCCACTTTCCTGTAACCACAAACTTCTGCTGAACACTCTAACATTACATTCTTCAACCTACCCCATACATCTTCAACCCCATTGCCTATACTCTCACTAGCCCATCTATCCTCCAATAGTTATTTATATCTTACCCTAACTGCCTCCTCTTTTAGTTTATACATCTTCACCTCTCTCTTACTTGCTGCTTGTATTTTCTTGTATCCACATCCTCTCTAAATGTTTCTCCTACTTTAGCATTTAGGTCCCCTACCAGTTACTCTCTCACTTGGTTCAAAGATTCCTATACAATCACTTAACATCTCCCAAAATCTCTCTCTCTCTCTCTCTCTCTCTCTCTACACTCCTCTCTTCTCTAGGTGCATACATGTTTATTATGACCCACTTTTCACATCCGACCCTTATTTTAATCCACAAAATCCTTGAATTTACACATTTATATTCCCTCTTCTCCTTCCATAACTGGTCTTTCAACATTATTGCTACCCCTTCCTTAGCTCTAACTCTCTCAGCTACTCCTGACTTGATCCCATTTATTTCTCCCCACTGAAACTCGCCTACCCCCTTCAGCTTTGTTTCGCTTAGGGCCAGGACATCCAACTTCTTTTCATTCATAACATCATCGATCATCTCTTTCTTATCATCTGCACTACATCCACGCACATTCAAGCATCCCAGTTTTATAAAGTTTTTCTTCTTCTGATTTGTAGTAAATGTGTACAGGAGAAGGGGTTACTAGCCCATTGCTCTTGGCATTTTAGTCGCCTCATACGACATGCATGGCTTACGGAGGAAAGATTCTTTTCCACTTCCCCATGGACAACAGAGAGAAAAAAAACAAGAACAAGAGCTATTAATAAAAAGAAGAAAAACCCTAGATGTGTGTATTGTATATATATTATATATATATATATATATATATACTTATATTATATATATATATATATATATATATATATACAGGAGGCCCCACTTATACGCAGGTTAGGTTCCAGGCTACCGCCGTAAAGCGGAAACCGCTGTAAAGTGGAACACCCAATTTTTTCCACTTATAAATACAACAAACACTAGATAACAAGTTTACACTAACATATATTAAGTTAGTCAATAGAACCAGGCATCAAAAAACAATAAAAAAGTACAATACACCACATAGTGCACTCATTACTTACCTTAATAATTATTATAGTCTTAATCTAGGGTGAGACAAGTAGTATTTATTGTAAGAAATCAAGTGTGGTATGTGTGGTAATAGCCAGGCTACCTTACCAGGCCACCACCCACACATACTATTCTATGATATTAAGCATCCAGAGCGATAAAATGTATAACAGTTCACTCATTACTACCTTAAAATATTTGTAGTCTTAATGTAGGGTCAGGAGTAAGTAAATGAGATAAAACGAATAAATGAAGAGAGAAAGAATGAGTACATGAGAGGGGACAGGCGCAGAGTTATGTAAACAAACCAGGCGAACGTAAGTTTTGTAAACAAACGAAGTGTACACGTCTGGTTTGTGTACAAGTTACATTGTGTACAGGTTGTCTTTACATTGATACGGTAGAATTAATAAAGAAGAACACTCCCATTCTCATGTAACATCATTTTGAGAAGAAATGAAGCTCTGAGTGAAGGCAATGGAAATAAGTCCCACTGACTTTTTTGGGTTATCCTAGGTTCTCTACACGTATGTTGTTATGTATGATAATCTATGTAACTGTACGTATTTGTGTATACCTGAATAAACTTACTTACATACATACGAAAGGAATAATTTTCTACAGTTACCCCCAGTAACACATTTTCTCTTATGTTAGATTAGAGAAAATGTTATTCTTGCCATCACTTATACAAGTTATGTGGCTCCCACATCTTATATTTATGTTTATTTATTCTATTGTGGGGTGTATTTATCATCTTTTTATGTTATGTATCGTGTTTATTATATAATTTTGAAAAAAAATATCATGGATGGATTTTAAAGAAAATGTGTATATTAACGTAATATACGACATTTAATGAGACTCGGTGAGTATTGTTATTATTATCATTTCAAATATGGCGTCACTTGTGCAAGTCGTCTGCTACCACATCTCACATTTATGTTTATTTATTCTACTGTGGGGTGTATTTATCTTATTTATATGTTATGCATCGTGTTTATTATATAATTTTGAAAAAAAATATCATGGATGGATTAATGAAAATGTGTATATTACCGTAATATACGACATTTAATGAGACTCGGTGAGTATTGTTATTATTATTATTATTTCTAATATGGCATCACTTGTGCAAGTCGTCTGCTACCACATCTCACATTTATGTTTATTTATTCTACTGTGGGGTGTATTTATCTTATTTATATGTTATGCATCGTGTTTATTATATAATTTTGAAAAAAATATCATGGATGGATTAATGAAAATGTGTATATTAACGTAATATACGACATTTAAATGACTCGATGATTATTATTATCATTATTAATATGACGTCTGGAGACATAAGACACTTACCAATTTTAATGTGTACCTGCATGCCAGCACAGTATGTAAGTTTATTTAGGTACAGGTATACATAAGTATAATTATCAGAGTATATATAAAATATGAAATAACTTTAAAAACATTTGAAATTTTGGAGTTTCCAGACAAAATGGAGAGACTTAGTGCTTACTGAGCTCATGGAGAATGTAAACAAACAGGGTGGGCACGGTGACCGTATTAGAAAGTCAGGTGGGGGGAGCCGTATAGCGAGTTTTGGTCATAATTTGAAATGTCCGTATTAGCGGAACGCCGTAAAGTGAAACGCCGTAAAGCGGGCCTTCCTGTATATATATATATATATATATATATATATATATATATATATATATATATATATATATATATATATATATATATATATATATATATATATGCATGTGCATGCCTGTGTAGTGTGACCTAAGTGTAAGCAGAAGTAGCAAGATATCCCTGTTATCCAGCGTGTTTATGAGACAGAAAAAAGGCACCAGCAATCCTACCATCATGCAAAACAGTTACAGGTTTCTGTTTCACAGTCACCAATTATGTTTTGTAAATTGATCTCCCTATGTATAGCCTCACCATCAATACTTCATTTCTTTTGATAGGTAACTTGATAAAACAATTCTTCAATGAGTGTTTGAGAAATGCCACTGATTTATTTGAGTTGTGAATGTCTGCAAGAGGCTTGTTAAAATAGTGTAAAAGATTCAACATAAAGCAGAAACAGTAAAACACAGTTAGGAATGTACTACCATGAAGAATGTCACATTGCATTATACCCAGTAAGAATAAAACACTCGAGTACCACTCATTAACTCGTACATATTTGTTATTTCTTTAGCTTGCATCATATGACACTGGAGCCAGTTAAAGCCACCAAGTCATGTAACAACAACAGCAGCAAGGTACAAGTACTGATCCTTGTATCATCTTCGATACCGAATTTTGAAGCCAGACAAGCAGTGAGGAGATCCTGGGGGGCCAACTTGCCATCTCTGTGGCCTCTAGTTTTCTTTATTGGAGCTACCACAGATGCCTTACTGCAGGTTGGTCACTTTCTGCAACTTTCTACTCATCACTGAGTCTATATCCTGTGGTTGTGTGTGAATCACTTTATGCATGACCTGCATAGATCTGTCTAGCATTTACTCGCAGACATCAATACGTCTCTATTAAGGACACAACCTCATCATCAAGACCAATGGATACTGGAGCACCACAGGGAAGTGTCCTTGGCCCTCTGCTCTTCCTCTTATACATCAATGATCTTCCAAATGTATCACAACTTAAACCTATTCTCTTTGCTGATGACATGACTTATGTCATCTCCCACCCTAATCTTGCCTCACTCAACACTACTGTTAACACAGAGCTAGCAAAAATATTGATCTGGATGACTGCCAATTAACTTACATTTAATACTGACAAAAGCGTCTACATTATGTTTGGGAACAGAACAGGTGATGCCCAACTGAATATTATGATTAACAACACTCTATTGCTAAACATCATGAGGGCAAATTTCTGGGTCTGCACCTTGACAGCAACTTAAAATTCAACACTTATATCCAACACATAACAAAAAAAGTATCCCAAACATTGGAATCTTCTCAAAGATACATTATTACGTACCACAATCAGCCCTACTAACACTATACTATTTGTTCATCTATCCCTACCATACCTGTGCTATTTGTGCCTGGGGATCAGCAGCAGCAACCCACTTGAAGCCAATAATAACCCAACAAAAAGAATGGAGTAATAATTATCATGCAATCCAGTGCTAGTTAAGCCTCCTCCCCCCCACTCTTCAAAGACCTAAACTTACTCACTGTACAAAATATTCACACCTACTACTGTGCAATGCACATTTACAGAACCACAAGTTCTAATATTAACCCCAAACTAAAACACTTTCTTGACAGCTGCAACAGGACCCATAGATATAATGCCAGACACAAAAATTTCTATGACATTCCTCGTGTCTGGCTAAATCTCTTCAAAAGCTCAATGTACATAAAAGAGTCTAAAATTTGGAAATCCCTGTCTGAAATCTCAAGAACTGCAAACTCAACCACCATTTTCACCCGAATGACTATAAACATAAAATTCTTAATACAGTGGAACCCCGGTTTTCGTCCAGTCCGGTTATCATACAATTAAATTTTTGACCACTTTTCTCGGGAAAATTTTCCCCATTTTCATACATCCACTCAGAAATTATCTGTACCAGACACATCCGCCTGCCCATGGGACGTGGCCGCTCATACGTTCGTGACTCAGTCTGCCTTTGTTACTCGTTCAGTGAGAGAGGGGAGAACGTGCCTTCTTCAGCGATTAACCCTTTCAGGGTTGAAAAATTTAAAAAACAAAATAAAAATTATTTCTTATATAATAATCTTTTTTTCCAATCATAATGACACCAAAAGTATGAAATTTGATGGAAAACGTAAGAAATTATGCTCTTGTGAAGTTAGCAGTCTCAATGATATTTACGCATTGGCGATTTCGCCCACTTTGAGCCCTATTTTCGGCCAATTCCAATGTTTCAGTCTACTAAAATCATAGCTATTTCACTAGGATTCCATTTGTTCTGTCGACTGAGTACAAGAAACTGCCCATTTACTGATTTCAACTATGCAATAAAGTGGTCAGAAATTGGCAATTTGGCCTATTTCACACAAATTTCAAAAGACGCCAATTTCAAAATAGGGTCCAGAATAAACAAGACAGACATTCCTGGCACTAAAATAACATTTTTATCTGTTCATTAGTCACACATCTCTAGGCCCCTCTTATATTACTTCTGCTTTACATTTTGAATTTTTATTCTTACAAAAAATAGAAGATTTACTGTTGTGTATACAACTGCATCATTGTAAAAATGGTATAAATAATATCAGCACACTTGTGCAAGAATATCAGACTCACCAATTTACGTGTACTGGACGCATGGCATGATTTGTTTACTCTTGAACATCGGAGAAAAATTGAACATTTTCGCTACTTTACGCTCAATTTCAAGGTACTTGTCATCATGAAACCAATCAAAATTACCTCTATTTCTGTAATATATCTTCCATTCTATCAACTGAGACCAAGAAAATGAGAATACAACCATAAATACCATACGAAAATAGACTGCAAAGTTGCTGTTTTAAACCAAAAACATGGAAGTTTTTTTTTTCCTCATTATGCACTGTATGTTGCAGGATTTTTTTACTGTGCACACTGACTACAAAGACCAAGCTTTCACATCTAGGCCTACCAGCCTTTTCCCGCTTGATTTGAGGGCACTAGAATTTACGCGTACTAGTGCGTCACCAACACTGGTGCGTAAGACGTACTAGTACGTACGTCAAAAACCCTGAAAGGGTTAAGGACATTTGTGCAAAGTGGAGTGATGTGGAAAGTTTTGTGGTGAAATATCACCCTAACAAAGCTGTTGCAAGCTATGTTGTCAACATGTTCAGTGACAATGCTGTCTCCCATTTTTGGCAAATCTTAAAGACACCAGAAACAGGCCTCACTGGACAGATTTTTTGTGTGACAGGGGTCCAGTGGCTCTCAAGCTAGTCCTAGTGCCAGTAAAAGACAAAGAAGGGAAGTAACCCTGGATAGGGCTTTGATACCTGAAGCCCTCATGGAGGGGGATTCCCTTTCCAAACAATAACCTCTCCTCCTCCCTCTTCCCTCTTTGCTGTCTTCCATACACCAACAAGAATCGTCAATAAAGATAAAAGTGATGTTAAATGTTCATTTATCCATTTCATTAGTCATTTATATTTATTTCTCATTCTTTTCTGTATGTAAAACTATAGTTTTTCTCTATAAAATGTATTTTTTGTTAATATTTTTGGGTGTCTGGTATGGATTAATTGGATTTACATTATTTCTTATGGGAAATAGTACTTCAGTTTTCGTACAAATTGGTTTTCAGCCAACCTACTGTAACGGATTAAAGATGAAAACGGGTTCCACTGTGTAGTTATTGCCTAAGTAATCTTTAGTCCTAAGTTTGTCTGAAATACTCTGCCAATATAGGAGCATTTACAGAAACAGTGTATCATGCTGAGATAAAACCATTCCAATTACTAAAGTTACTAATTGTAATACAGCCTCTTCTCACTTAATGATGAAGTTCCCTTTCCAAGACCTCGTTGGTAAGTGAATTCGTCACTAAACGAGGAGCATACTATAATGGTAGCGAGTTTTGCGTCGACCACCTTTGATATTATTTTAATGTCACCTTTGCACCATTTATAACATTTCTGATAAATTTTTAAATGTTTATACAGCAGTGTATTGTATATTATAATAAACAGAATAGAGGAAATCAGCTCTAATATACATTATTTTGGTATGCACACAGGTTAGAGAGCCCATCGTAAGTCTGAGTCATTGGTAAATGATTAAGTCACTAAGCGAGGAGAGGCTGTATCGTCTTTTGTTTTGTACTACCTCACTATTGTCAATCTTCTTAATGATAATATCTTTAATAAATATTAACCCTTTGACTGTTGCAACCCCAAATCCTGAAGTGTCTCCTGGTATTGAAGATTAAAAAAAAAAAAAATTCTTATGAAAACGTTAAGATTAATTTTCTGATTGTTCAAAGCCCCCCCCCCCAAAAAAAAAAAAAAAAAAAAAAATTGTGATCAGTACTTACTGAGATACAGAGGAGTAAAGTTGGCAGAAGATGAGCAGTGTATGGCAACAGCAGCAAATGCCACTCACCCGGTAAACTTTGGTTTATTTCTATTCGAAGGTTTCTTGTTTTTTCACTTTCATTTTTTCACATAACTTATGTGGCCTCTGAGACCAAAGTATGGTGCAATGTACATACATACACTTGTTGTATACAACACAATAAGCGCACAAACATAATTATCAATATATTGTTTACAAAGCTTGTTTACACAAACAAAAAATACAAAAAATGGTTTATTACTATTGTTCTATAATATATATACAAATGTACATCACTGCAGTTTGTAGAATTCTGCGTTTGTGGAACTTTGAAATTGATTTCATACACAAGTTGTTTTACACTCCCACCCTTAAAAAGGGGTCTCTCTTATTGGGGTTTTTTTTTTTTTGGCAAGAAAAAACACCCATCGAGCAGTTTTTTGAAAGGTTTTGCAGGCATTGTGTTAGGGAGTTTTTCAGGAAACATGTCATCATTCCTTCCTACCTACTCCCTTTTTTTCTTCACTCTTTCTTTTTCATTCTTCCTTTCTTCCTTCTTTCTGGTTTTTAAAAATTTTCACAAAAAGCATGGACACTCATAAACTGCTATTTTTTTCGGAAATTTTTTACTGTTTGGTGGACTTCTAAAGTGCTGATCAGGGGTTTGGGAGCCATCAAAAAAGACATATATCATTACTCCCCCCCTACTGGCTGTCAACAAATGGGGGGGCCCCGCTTGCTTCCCCCCCTCCCCCAGAATTATATTTTTTTCACCCTTTTCTTTACCTCTTTTTCTTTTTTTCTTTCTTCTTTACCTTCTTTTTTCTTCTTTTTCCTTTCTTCTTTATCTTTTTTTCTTCTTTCCCTCCTTTCTTCTTTCTTCCTCTCCCTTTCTATTCTTTTTTTTTTTCTCCTTTCTCTTTCTTTTTCTTTTTATTTCTCTTTTTCTCTTTTTTTTTTCTTTTCTTTTCCTTCTTTCTTGGTTCCTGGCATTTGCTTTCGGTCACAAACTTCCAAAACCATGAAATTTATCTCCATGATATTCCATCGTGTTAGGCATCACTTGGGGAAAAAAGAGTCCCAGATTTGCGGGGAGTCAATATTTTTTACGCTAGGCACGTGAACAAAGGGCCTTTTAAATGGCATTCCCCAAAAGTCACCCCTGGCTCCCCCTTTTTTTTTTTAGGCACCACTGACCATGGAGAACTTTTTTTCAATGTGGGCCTACACTTTTCCTTTTGATTTTAAGCGCTAGAAAATTTGGGGCATAAAACGTCAAACACATTGGCTCATAAACACATAACAAAGAAACAGCAAAGGTTAAAATGTACTGTTCCAAAAAATTGTAATATAGATTAGTCAGTAAGAATTTTGGATTAGTCTGTCTGAAATTCTTTGGGATGTGTGGCTTTCTTTTAATTAATATTTTATAATATGTAAACCACACATTGTAATCTTTGCAGAGAAATAAGCATTTTCATTTTCATTTCATTTTCAAAATAATTATGGATAATTATTTTTACTAGGAATGTCTCAAGGCACTTGGCACATATTCTCTAGAAAGGAGAACAGAGATATCTCATAATGTATACATGGAAGACATTTGAGGGTCTGGTCTTTAATCTACTCACTACAACAGTTTACTGAAGTGAAAATCCATGGATACAGGGATTCTACTGTATGATCACAGCCCAAGAAGCTGGGCCACTATTATACCTGGAGTGGGTTTTGGGGGTCAACACCCCCACAGCCCAGTCTGAGACCAGGCATGAGGGGGGGGGGAATTACATACACTATAACTGGAAGATAAACACAGTCCATTGATAAGCACAGCATTTATTTCAGTTTAAATAACAGGGATATTTGCTTATTCGCTGTTATTCTGGTGATAAACAATGCAAACATATATCAACCCCTCACAGGTGAATTCTCTCTACCAACATTCTCCATAACATTCACTTTGCTTCCTTTAGACAAATATATGTCTTGGTCTAACTCAAAATTGCTCAAATTATACAGGTGAGGTTTTACCAAGTCTTCACCAAGTAACTTTTGAAATGTTAAATACCTTAAAACAATTCATTTACATTTTTAATACTTTTTTTTTTTTTCAACAAGTCGGCCGTCTCCCACCGAGGCAGGGTGACCGAAAAAAAGAAAGAAAATTCCCAAAAACAAAATGCTTTCATCATCATTCAACACTTTCACCACACTCACACATTATCACTGTTTTTGCAGAGGTGCTCAGAATACAACAGTTTAGAAGCATATACGTATAAAGATACACAACCTATCCCTCCAAACTGCCAATATCCCAAACCCCTCCTTTAAAGTGCAGGCATTGTACTTCCCATTTCCAGGACTCAAGTCCGACTATATGAAAATAACTGGTTTCCCTGAATCCCTTCACTAAATATTACCCTGCTCACACTCCAACAGATCGTCAGGTCCCAAGTATCATTCGTCTCCATTCACTCCTATCTAACACGCTCACGCACGTTTGCTGGAAGTCCAAGCCCCTCGCCCACAAAACTTCCTTTACCCCCTCTCTCCAACCCTTTCGAGGACGACCCCTACCCCTCCTTCCTTCCCCTATAGATTTATATGCTTTCCATGTCATTCTACTTTTATCCATTCTCTCTAAATGACCAAACCACCTCAACAACCCCTCTTCTGCCCTCTGACTAATGCTTTTTTTAAACTCCACACCTTCTCCTAATTTCCACACTCCGAATTTTCTGCATAATATTTACACCACACATTGCCCTTAGACAGGACATCTCCACTGCCTCCAACCGTCTCCTCGCTGCTGCATTTACCACCCAAGCTTCACATCCATATAAGAGTGTTGGTACCACTATACTTTCATACTTTTCCCTTCTTTGCCTCCATAGATAGCGTTTTTTGACTCCACATATACCTCAACGCACCACTCACCTTTTTTCCCTCATCAATTCTATGATTAACCTCATCCTTCATAAATCCATCTGCTGACACGTCAACTCCCAAGTATCTAAAACATTCACTTCTTCCATACTCCTCCTCCCCAATTTGATACCCAAATTTTTTTCTTTATCTAAATCATATGATACCCTCATCACCTTACTCTTTTCTATGTTCACTTTCAACTTTTCTACCTTTACACACACTCCCAAACTCATCCACTAACCTTTGCAATTTTTCTTTAGAATCTCCCATAAGCACAGTATCATCAGCAAAAAGTAACTGTGTCAATTCCCATTTTGAATTTGATTCCCCATAATTTAATCCCACCCCTCTCCCCAACACCCTAGCATTTACTTCTTTATAACCCCATCTATAAATATATTAAACAACCATGGTGACATTACACATCCCTGTCTAAGACCTACTTTTACCGGGAAGTATTCTCCCTCTCTTCTACACACCCTAACCTGAGCCTCACTATCCTCATAAAAACTCTTAACAGCATTTAGTAACTTACCACCTATTCCATATACTTGCAACATCTGCCACATTGCTCCTCTATCCACTCTATCATATGCCTTTTCTAAATCCATAAATGCAATAAAAACTCCCCTACCTTTATCTAAATACTGTTCACATATATGCTTCAATGTAAACACTTGATCTACACATCCCCTACCCACTCTGAAGTCTCCCTGCTCATCCGCAATCCTACATTCTGTCTTACCTCTAATTCTTTCAATTATAACCCTACCGTATACTTTTCCTGGTATACTCAGTAAACTTATTCCTCTATAATTTTTACAATCTCTTTTGTCCCCTTTAATACATTCTACATAATTAAAAACTAGATCTGTGCATAACTGCTTATACATTAATGTGTTCTGGAAATATTTGTAGAGTATATTAATAAAATAAAAAATTTCCTCAAATGGTAAATAAACATATAATATAGCAAAGTCTATTGGTACAGTGCTTCACCCAACCTTAAATTCCTTCGTCACATGATCTGTTACTACAAGCATAGAGCAGACGCGTTACACATCAATACCAGGAAACAGAATGACAATGAACGAAGATATGTTATGTACTAGCACCACTGTGGCCTAAACTATGCAATTCCAACACCGGCACTGCTGTGACTACCACCATGACCCTCCAATACATGACAAGGACCCTTGTATCCTAAACAAGACCCAAGGATGTACGAGTCCACAGCATCTCCTGAAGTGGATGTGATCAAGTTTATATTTGTGAAACTGTTAGGAGTCTTCCCATATGCCTACAAGAACACAAAGGACAACACCAACAATGCTTGAGTACAACACTGCAACACTCTATCCCATACCAAGGCCAGGCACAGAAACCTGGCTACATTTTCATGAAAATGACATGATTAAACACAGGAGCTTGTAATTATCAACAAAGAAAATAACACCACAAATATATAACCCACACATAGGAATATGACACTTATGATGATGTTACGGCCCGACTTGGACCATTAACAACATAATACAAAAATGTGGTAGAGTGTACTGACTGGTGACTCCCACAGTACATCTCATCTTGCCACCAGGCCCATGGCCTTGTGGCAAAAGCTCTCACTTCACACGCTGGGGGTCTGGGTTCAATTTCCTGCATGGGTGGAAACATTGGATGTGTTTCCTTTCACCGGTTGTCCATGTTCAGCCATCAGTAAAAGCAGGTACCTGGGTGTTAGCTGACTGGTGTGGGTCGCATCCTGGGACGAAATTGACCTAACAAGCGGTTTTCTATAGTAGTGTGTCATTGATGTCAGCTAGGCCTGTATACCTTGTACATGTACTCGTAGAAACAAAAATATTATTATTAAAGGTAACCTAGCATGGGCCAACAAGTCTCTGTAGTGGAACTATTCCCCTAACACATTGACCTATGCTAGACAGGTTCTACTCCATCCAACTCTTCTCACTCATACTGTCCAGCTTATCTTTGTTAACTACCTACCCCAGATGCCCAATATATGTTTGAATTTTTCTTGTTATTCTATGTACTTGATAAAAACCACTTGTGGGTGAAACACTGTACCAATAAAGACCACCTGTGGATGAAATACTGTACCAATAAAGACCACCTGTGGCTGAAACACTGTACCAATAAAGACCACCTGTGGATGAAACACTGTACCAATAAAGACCATCTGTGGATGAAACACTACCAATAAAGACCACCTGTGGATAAAACACTGTACTAATAAAAACCACCCATGGATGAAATACTGTACCAATAAAGAGCACTTGTGGATGAAACACTATACCGATAAAGACTACTGGATTAAGTGTGTATTTATTATTTCTATTAACTGCCTTAACCCAAGCCCATTGCATACATATGTGTATATGTTATTTGTGTTTACTTTAATCTACACATAATTAATAACAATACATAACATGTCTTTTGTTTTTTTTTTTTGTCAGGAGAAGGTGAGAGTTGAAGCGCAAGAGTATGGAGACATTGCACAAGACCTGAGTTTCTACGACTCTTACTCCAATCTCACTCTTAAGACACTCAGTCTTCTCAGTTGGTCACAACACTTTTGCACTCATGCCACTTACATTCTAAAAATTGACGAAGACATTTTCCTTAACGTACACAAATTATACAACTTAACAATGTGTGTCACTGAGGCAAGAAAAACTATGTATACAAAAAAGAAGAAAGACAAGCCATTCAGTTCTGGTCAGCTGGGAGGAGTCAGCACTCATCAGTCTTTCTTGGAAGCATTGACAGATAACTCATGTGATGCCTTAACACCAAGTAAATACATTAATTATTTTATCAATTCCCAAACTCATGAATACGAATCGTATATGTTCGGAGGTTACTTGTACAATGGAGTGAAAGCCGAGAGGAACCCTCAGTCAAAGTGGTATTTAGATCCTATGTTATATTCTAATGATATTTTGCCACCATTCTTGTCTGGCACTTCTTATATTATTACCTCAAACCTCATCCCTCATCTGCTAGAAGAAGCAAAATTCACATCACTAATACAGCTGGAAGATGTTTACATCTCAGGACTTGTAGGCAACAACAGACTAAAGATCAAACTAAGTCACTTGGAGGGATGGACTCAATTCCGTCCTTGGTGGGATGACCCATGCATTTACCGTGAGCTCCTCACCTCGCATGGTTTCTCTCCACCCGAGCTGCTTAGTGTCTTTCAGGCTGTTAATAATTTAAGTCATACTGCCTGTGATAGCTTTTTACTGAATGTTATGAAAACCTTCACTTTATTTGTATCCTCTATTTTCCCCAGGGTACCATCCTAATACAGTGGACCCCCGGTTCGCGATGCTATCTGTATCCAATAAATCTGGTAGCTGATGCATTATATCGCCAAAATTTTGCCTCGGTTCCCGTTACAAAACCCGATATGCGATGCGATTCATACGAGATGTGTCCACGTGTGTCCTGAACTGCCCCGTGTGTGCCAGTGTTTACAAGCCAGCCAGTGTGCGCGCATCTAAGGATACATTCGGTACATTCCATATTATCACTGTTTTTGGTGCTTGTTTCTGCAAAATAAGTCACCATGGGCCCCAAGAAAGCTTCTAGTGCCAACCCTGTGGTAAAAAGGGTAAGAATTAGTATGGAAATTAAGAAAGATTTTGAAGGGTTTGGGGCTAACCCTGAGAAGCCTATGCCAATTGTGGAATCCATTGTGCCTACTTCAAAGATTAAGGAAATGTGTGCAAAGTGGGTTGAACTGCAAACCTTTATGGATGAAAATCACCCTAACACAGCTATTGCAAGCCGTGCTGGTGACTATTACAGTGACAATGTTGTGACCCATTTTAGACAAATCTTAAAGGAATGGGAGGTACAGAGCTCTTTGGACAGATATATTGTGTGACAGAAGTCCAGTGACTCTGAAGCTGGTCCTAGTGGCATTAAAAGAAGAAGGGAAGTAACCCCAGAAAAGGACTTGCTACCTCAAGTCCTAATGGAGGGGGATTCCCCTTCTAAACAATAGGTTCAACACTCTCCCCTCCTCCCATCCCATCAATCATCACCAGATCTTCATTAAAGGTAAGTGTCAATTATTCTATTGTTATTGTAATTATTCTATTGCATTAAACTTAATATTTCATGTGGTAAAAGTTTTTTTTTTTTCATACTTTTGGGTGTCTTGCATGGATTAATTTGATTTCCATTATTTCTTATGGGGAAAATTTATTCGCTTTCCGATAATTTTGGTTTACGATAGTTCTCAGGAACGGATTAATATCGTGAACCGGGGTCCACTGTACTGCACCCAGTTCTACAAGGAAAAGCATATGTACTTATTGAAAAAAATTACTACATTTGGGCAAAACAAAGATAAACCCCAAAAATATTGAGTAACTGTGCAGAACTAAACAGGGACATACACTATAAAAGAAAAAAGGTTGATTTAATGGATTCAAATGCAGAGTACCGATGTGAAAGACGGCTAAATTATGTTTCGACAGCCCTATTATGTCCAGCTCTTGAAGGAGGATCTTGAGTGAAGGAAGGCATTAGAGACGTACAAAGATCTCATTTAGTTTGTTACTATGCAACATTAGTTTAGTTTGATATGTTTATTATGCACCCCATACCCATCCTGTGGGCGGTAGTCAAAATATTATAGAGGTACATAATGGGTCCAGGGACTGGACCCCAAAGCTTTGATAGCTGAACTCCAGGTAGATCTGATCACAATCATGACCAAGTTACAAAGGTAATGAATCATCTACACGTCTACACATGGTCACAATCATAATAAACAAATTACAAAGTAATGAACCATTCACACGTCCACACCCGGTCACAACTGTAATGAGTTTTTCGTGCAAATATTAATTGGGTCACATACAAACACATGAATGCAATCTGCAATTTTGCAATGTGAGAGCAAAATTCAGAATACGTATATCAATCTGTCCATTTCCAAATAATATTCTCATGAGAATTCTGCACTTGGTATTATTTTGCACTAAGAGTAAAAATTACAAAACATAAATAACGTTAGTGGCTTGCGTGCTTTCATGTGTGCAACATGCGATTCGATGTGTTTCATTAGTATTTGCATATTTAACCCTTAAACTGTCCAAACATACATCTACGTTTTCTCATGTAACGCTCTGAATGTAGATCTAGCTTCGATTTAACATGCTTTCTTATGTAAAAAAAAAAAATCTATGTTCGGAGCGCTACACGAGCAAACGTAGATCTACGTTTAGACAGTTTAAGGGTTAACAGAGCAAGAAAGTACAGCCTCTCCTCATTTAGTGATGTACTCATTTACCAACAATTCAGACTTATGAAGGGCTCTCTGACCAGTATGCATACCTAAATAATGTACAGTGGACCCCCAGATTACATCGTCATTGGAATAGTACGTAATATTCAGAGTAAGTAACGCTTTTTTGTCAAAATACTGGCTCGGTGATCGTCACTGAACTTGATATAAGTCATTCGTCTGGAACGTGTCCACGCGGCCTGAGCGGCCCTGACACTCATGTGCAGCCAATGTGCCATTGTTTATCAGCCAGTGAGGACGATCCCACGTGTTCATACAATATATTTTGTATTATTCCATTCTTTTTAGTGCTTGCAACTGCTAAATAAGCCACCCAAACAAAGTTCCTAGTGCTAGCCAGCCCTTTGGTAAAGGACTGAGAGAGAGGGGAGAATGTGCCTTTTTTAGTGATTCTGCAATATGTACAATACTAAAGCAGCAGGAGTCGATAAAGGCTATAATGCCAGCCAGTGATAAAGTGTGGCATTAACAATGTAACAAGTAAGTTAAGCGATTAATCGATAGACAAAGGACAGCATGAAACTGACTCCTCCATTGTTGCTGGAGGTATAGTGGACCCTCACCTAACGATATTAATCTGTTCCTGAGAGCTTATCGTTAGACGAAATTATCGTTAGCCGAATTAATTTTCCCCATGAGAAATAATGGAAATCCAATTAATTCGTTCCAGACAGCCAAAAGTTATTATTTTTTTTTTTTCATGAAATATACATTTCCCTACAAAGAAAACAATGAGACATGCACAAAAACTATATAAATAAATGTTAAAATGACACTTACCTTTATTGAAGAGTACTGATGATGATGAGACACTGTTTTTCTTGAACATTCTGGGATTTTCAGAGTGATACATGAGTAAAGGCTTCACTTTGCAATCCCCACTAGCATTACTGCAAAAAAAGGGAAAGTAACCCTTTGTCTTTCATAGGTTTGTGTCCTGGGAGTGCCTTTTCCTCCTGAGTAATGTAGGTCCTGTTTGGCATTTTCTTCCAGAACAGGCCTGTTTTGTTGCAATTGAACACTTGCTGGGGTTGGAATTTTTCAGCTTCGCCATGCCTTATCACACTGTGTATGCCACTACGATTCTTAAATCTCTCAAACCAACCTTTGCTGGCCTTAAATTCACCAATATGAGCACTAGTTCCAGGCATTTTTTCCTGTTCACCTGGCCGTTAGTCGGCTGGTGTGGGTCGCATCCTGGGGAACAAGATTAAGGACCCCATTGGAAATAAGATAGACAGTCCTAGATGACTCACTGACTTTCTTGGGTTATCCTGGGTGGCTAACCTTCTGGGGGTTAATTGTTTCTCAGTAATTGTTTCTCATTAAGCCACACCAACAACAGTTTCTCCACATCTTTGAGTAGTACAGCTGACAGTGGTACAACAGCAGCTGACCGTGGTACGATAGTATTTCAATAGTATTTCTCACCCTTTTTACCACAGGGTTGGCACTAGAAGCTTTCTTTGGGCCCATGGTGGCTTATTTAGCAGTTACAAGCACTATAAACAATGGGATAATACAAAATGTATCGAATATATGCATGAAACCGGCCACCCTGGCTTGTAAACAATGATAGCAGGGCAGCTGAGGCGCTGAGGCTGGACGGACAGGTTTAGGACAAATCATGTTGGGTGAGTTTTTTATTGTTCGGCGGGCCAAAATTTTTACGCTCAAACGCTTGTTAGGCGAATTTAACGTTATGCGATGCATTCATTAGGCAAGGGTCCACTGTATATTGGGATACTGACTAACACCGCCACCTCTGCTGCCTCTTGCTGCCGCCTTCACCACCACTATGTGAGGCTTATCTTTCAGTGGCCCTTACACCCAACAACAAACAACACACCACCACTCGTGACATTCTTAATGCCATATTTTATTCATTCTAGAGTATATATCATGTTTCTATGTTATTAATATTGTTTATTATGTCATATAGATAAATTGTGCTAGAGAAATAAACTGCAGAGCTGATATCAGTGTCACACTGAAGGACTATCTTGTCCTGCTTCCCAACACAATTCCTAACATACGCCAAAAACAGACCTCTCTGGAACACTTTTTTGAGCGACAGGGGTCCAGTGACTCTCAAGCTGGAACTAGTGGCATTAAAAAACAAAGAAGGGAAGTAACCCAGGATAAGGGCTTGGTACCTGAAGTGTTTATGGAAGGGGATTCCCCTTCCAAACAATTGTAAACTACTCCATCCTCTCCCCTCCTCCTGTCTTCCATACATCACCATGTCTTCAATAAAGGTAAGTGTGACATTATTATTATTTTATTCTTTATGTATCATTGTTTTCTGTGTAGGTAAATGTTTATTTCATGTAGAAAACATTTTTTAATACTTTTGGGTGTCTGAAACGGATTAATTGGACTTCCATTATTTCTTATGGGGAAAATTAATTTGGAATTTGTCAGATTCGGGTTTAGTCACTCTCTCTGGAACAGATTAATTACGAAAACTGGGGGTCCACTGTATATTAAAGCTGATTTCCTCTATTCTTATTATTACAATATACAGTACACTGCTGCTTAAACATTCAAAAATATACCAGAAATGTTATGAATGGTGCAAAGGTGACATTAAAACAATATCAAAGATGAATGACACGAACCCACTACCATTATAGTATGATCCTCACTTAGCAACAAATTCATTTACCGATGTTGTCTTAGGAACAGAACTCCGTCGTTAAGTGGAGAGAGGCTGTAAAACAAATCATCAATTAACACGGGATTACTGTACTGTGAGTGTATATAAACTTGCAGTACTGTATTATGAGTGTATACATGAACTAACTTGTTCTTATTGTTACAGTGACAGTTGAAGAACTTTTTCAGGTTATATTATTACTAAATTGTCAGTCTTTATTGTTAATAAGCCATTAATGTTCACATTTTACATCATTTTTCACTAATTATCTTTTTTCCATGCAAAACTAGCACTTAAAGGTCAGATAATATGACATAGATTCCAATTCAAAGTTTATTTCCATATGAAGGAGGGGTGTTAATGTTGCAGCTTAAAAACTGTAGTGTAAAGCACCCTTCTGGCAAGACAGTGATGGAGTGAATGATGGTGAAAGTTTTTCTTTTTCGGGCCACCCTGCCTTGGTGGGAATCGGCCAGTGTGATAATAAATAAATAATAAATTGTTTATAAAGAAATGTATGCAAAAAAGCCCATGGTTATGCAGAGCATTTCAGGCAAGCTTAACCTATTAAGACAACAAGGGCAATAAATATTACATGTATTTTTTTTTTCAACGAACTGGCCATATGCCACCCAGTCAAGGAGACTTTAAAAGAAAATTGAAAGTTTTTCTTTTTAAATTTAGTAATTTATACAGAAGGGGTTAATAGCCCCTTGCTCCCAGCATTTTAGTCACCTCTTACGACATGCATGAATTATGGAGGAAGAATTCTTTTCCACCACCCCGTGGAGATACAGTAGGGCCACACTTATACAGCAGGTTAGGCTCCAGGCTACTGCCAGAAAGCAGTATAAATGCATATAAATGCATATAAATGCCAGATAACAAGTTTACATTAACATATATTAAGTTAGCAATAGAATTAGGCATTAAAAACAATAAAAAGTAAAATACACACACACAGTACACCCATTACTTACCTTAAAATATTTGTAGTCTTAACCCTTAAATGGTCCAAACATATATATACGTTCTCTCACGTAGTGCCCCAAACGTATATATACGTTTTCTTTGTTATTCATTCAACATTGTCACAATAAGCCTGAGTCACCTAGACATGAGAGAATGGGTGTGCGCACTCACTGTGCGCCATATTAAAATAATTGGGGATGCCTGGTTACCATGTGCTCTTTCCTATTAAAAAAAATGATTCTTTTTCCTCAAAAAATTTGGGGCGCTACGCGAGAGAACGTATATATACGTTTGGACCGTTTAAGGGTTAATGTTGGGCAAAAGGTGAGTTTTATTTGCAGAAAGTCAGGTTTGGGAGGTATGGTAGCCAGCCAGGTAAGCCCACCCCACCCACACGTAATATACTACGACATTTAATTCAAGTGCCCCAGAGCGATAAAATACATATACAGTACATTCATTAATTACTTTAAAATATTTGTAGTCTTAATGTAGGGTGAGAGGTGAGTTTTATTTGAAGGAAGTCAGGTGGTAGCCAGCTAGGGCAGCGCTCCCCGCCCCACCCCACCCACATGTAAACAAACCAGGCAAACGCGTCTGGTTTTCGTCACTTTATATTGTGTACAAGTTGTCTCCATGTTGATACAGTGAATATCAAAATGTTATACAATACCGACAGGTTGGCAGGTAAGACACATAGCCTAACTGTTACCTATGCGTCTTACCTACCACGCTGGTACAGTAGAAAAAATAAAGAGAAACACTCTCATTCTCCTGTAACACCATTTTTAGAAGAAATGACGCTCTGAGTGAAGGCATATGACAGGAATAATTTTCTAGTTACCCCCGGTAATATTACAGTGACACATTTTCTCTGATGTTAGACTACAAGTAGCCTAGCTACCACAAGTCTTACAAGTCACCTGGCTACTACATCTCATATTTATGTTAATTTATTTTACTGTGGGGTGTATTTATCATGTTTATATGCTACCTAGCATGTTTATTATATAATTTTGAAAAAAATATCATAGGTGGACTAATGAAAATGTCTATATTAACGTAATAAGACATTTAATACACCCAAGAGATTACATATTATGTCAAGAGACCTGGAAAACCCTATCAGAAATACTAGGAACAAAAAAGATAACATGAAATAGCGAAATTGAATTAACAAAACCAGATGAACCCCAATTCCCACCAACTGAAACAGCAAACAGACTCAATGATTTCTTCTCCACTATAGGAAAAAACCTTGCCAATAAAATCCCAAGCTCAGATACCCCACCCAATGACTACCTCAATGGCAACTACCCGAACACACTGTTCCTAGCTCCGACTAACCCAACTGAAGTCTCCCTTATTATAAACAAACTAAAAAACAAGACAGGAGATTTAAAATACTTACCACCCATATATACAAAAAAGTGTCACGGTGCTATCACCC